CAGGTCTCAGAGGGGATCCCATTGATAATCACCCACGCAAAATAATATTTAGACTTCCACTCCTGCAGCCAAGATGAGCCTGGCCTGGATCCAAGAAGAGTGCAAATCCTATGTAAATAAAACAGTGACTGACTAGCAAAAATTTCACAATAGCAATTCCTCAGTGGTCTCTATACCCGCCCCCTCACCTGCAACTCAGAGGGATCGGGGCTAAAATAATTGAATCCATGCAAACAGTGCTTGTGTTCCCATGGTTTCATTAGAGCCAAAACGGAGGTGTTAAGATATTTGGAATCTTGTATAAGAACAACAACAACTTGGTTACAGAAAATAAGCTCTCCAGATGCCATTACTGTTTTCCAAAGGGGATGATGGATCACTGCCACAGAAATAGCCGGCGCTTTGATTGGCAAGTGTAAAACTTGGTTGCTGGTTTATTTGCCATTATCAGGATTCTTCCCTGACTCTGGTCCTCTGCCATCTTAGAAGTCCCACTGAACTTGGTAGAACATCCCTCAGAATAAGCATGCCTTCCCGCAAGCTGGTGCCCTGTCAGAAACAATACCCATGGACTACTCGTTACCCAGTCAACAATGCCAGTGGTCTGCAATGCTGAACGTTACAGACCAAAACACCAGGATGGCACCAGGCTGGGGATGGCGGATGTATAGGATTGCATTGTTGCCTGCACAACTTGAGCTCTGTGAGAGCCACTGCTATGCGTGCTTGAAGATGGAAGTGTTTGCCTTTTTTCCACAGCACTGGGCTAAATTATTTTCAGCTTATGCTCGAACATAAAAGCACCAATACACATTTATGCTCATCTGCTAGAGCAGCATCCACCAATCTGGTGCTCTCCAGATGTTTTGGAGTTCAACTCCTATCAGCCCTTGCCAGCATGGCTAAGAACACTGGGAGTTGTAGCTCAACACATCTGGAGAGTAACATACTGTAGAAGGTTATACTAAAGGAAGCATGAGCCTTGAGGAATCAATTTCCACCTTTCAGGGTTGCTGGAATCAAATGTGGGAAACCTTTGCAATTCCCCTTTTTACAGGCTTCAACTCTCCTGTCTGGCAAGAGACTGTATTGGCAGCTTTTCCTGTCCATTCCCTCCCCAGGCATGTAGCTCTCTCTGTACCTAACTTTGCTGCAACTGATCAGAATTCCAAGTATGCCACACGACAATCAGGGCAAGCTTTGGGAGGCCAGGGCCAGGCCAGGGCAGGGTGATTTGCTAGGAGAAACTGAGTCTTATTTCTGCCCTGATGCAAAAGGAAATTCAGGATTTAGACTAAGATTGGTTGTATTTCTGAAAGGCACATCACTATTTTCCAGATTTCAACCTTCTGATGGGCAGAGTGTAAGAGAATTGCTTTTAATAAATTCTAATTGGAAATCCCTTGCCCGAAATTATTGGTCTCCCTTTATGAAAATATTTTAATTTCCACTTATTGCACTTCTATGGTTGTGCCTAGTCTTAAACTTCAAGAATCAGACACATGCTGGAAACTTAGGATGGCCAGTGCTAAGAGAACCGAGCCTTCTCCACATTTAAGAGTGATTCAGAACAGGGGAAACTTTTCTCATGCAGGTATAAATGCTAAGAACAGTAAATGTGAACACCATTCACTATTCTTAAAGGTACAGGAGTCCTATTTACATGTGCTTATGGTCACTTCAGATTGTGGGTCACACTAACTATGGAGTTAATTGCATGAAAACAATCAATGCACACTCAGAGGCGAAGTACACCATGCACAATTAGTGCACACAGGCCCCCCAAGCAGGACTGCAGTGAGGATCATCCCCAGAGCTGTTATGAGCTGAAGAGAGAAGGCAGTGCTGCTGCCAGTGCTCCCCCAGTGTCCACTGGTACCTCTGAGTGAGGGGGGAGGCCATCTCAGCCAGGTTGGCTGCATGAAAGGGTGAGGGCAGGGTCTGCTTATCTATACATTTATTATTTCCAAAAGTTATAGGCTACTTCTTAGGGGAAATCCTCCCAAGGCACCTTACAATAGTGACATCAAAACAATATCAAATAACAATAAAATATAAACATGTTCATAACTAAAAACAGCTAACTAAAATCTACAGAGTGACACCTAGTAAGGTAGCTCAATGATAGGCTGAGGTGAAAATGTGAGTCTCGAATGCTCACTTGAAGTCCTGTAATAATTGGTCAAATGTTATTGGTCAAAGAATTCTACAAGCGTGGGAGATGCCTTGCAGACAGCTGCACAGGCAGGGCCTCTGGTGCCGATCACAGAGTGCAGTTGGGTAGTTCTTCATGCAACTTGGACCCAAACTACGGAAGGTTATCTGAATACTGTCTGCCTGGCAACAGAAAAGGTGCAGTCATTGCTGCTCAGAACATCTTTCTAAAGATACAGCAGGGACTGCACCTTTGGGGGGTTTCCCTCCACGCTCTTTCCAAACAGGCTGAGACTCTGAAATGGAAACCATCTTTCAGGCAGGTGCTGCCAGGGTTGGGGGGAGCATGCTAGGGGGCAGAGATGGGGGATGCAAAACACTGCAAGCTTCGGTCAAATCCAGGCATTGCATCAGCCCCTCCATCTCATGAAGAAGGGAAAATACTCAGATAAACTGGCTTCCTTAAATGCTTTTGAAGGAAAGGGGAGCAAGGAGGTGGTCCTTGCCTCTGCACTTTTCCTGTCCTTCCTGCAGATGCCAGTAACTTTCCCGGTTCAGAAGCCAAAGGATTGCGCCCTCCATCTTTCAAAAGCAAGGCCCCCGCACTTCAAAGTGGACCCAGAGATGTATTGGTATCCAGTGCCACAGGATCTGACTTGAAGCATCCACCACTCCTCAAGCAGCCGCACCAGCTGAAATTTCCAAGGGAAGTTCCACAGAACATTGTAGTCACTCCAGGCCATTCTCTGCCTGCAATGGTCTTAAAATTAAATAACACAAATTATTTAAAGCAATAAATGTATATATAGTTTACATTGCAGCTAGGAGACCCACAGGAGTTTACACTCCACTTCCTTAATTTGCTCGGTACCGCTGTTTTGAAATGCTTTCCTTTTTGCCTGTTGAGCTGAGGGCTACTGAAAGGTTTTGCATCTTATGGGTGGCAGTCATTCTACTGGCAATGCACATCCTTCACTGATATAAATAAGGGCCGGGGAAGTTTTTTTCATGAGGGTCACTTTCCCTTGTGAGTGGTCACATGCCCACAGTGTGCAGGGCCTAAACCAGAAATGCACAGGGCCAATTCTGCATATTGCTTTCTACCTACAGTATACGAACCATCAATCTTTTCCAACCTGGTTCCTTCTGGATGTGTTGGACTACAGGCCCCATAATTCACAGCCCACATGGTCAATGCAGGGAAGCAGACTGGAGAAGGCTGCTACAGACGACCGCTTGCAACTCCACTTAAAGCTGAGAAGGCCGAGAAAAGCCCTCTTACATTCTTAAATAATCAAAGCAGTTCTATGCATTTCAGGACTCCTCAACATTTGGCAACTCATGCCAACTTAATATGGCGTAGTTTACATGTAGCTGCATGCTGCATGGTGTTCATAACATATCAGTTGTTTTCCTCTCAAAAGCTTTATGTGCTCTGAACTGTACAAATCAAAAAGAATCACAATAGCTTTATCTAGCAATGGCCTATATTAGATCAGTGGATAGCTATTAAAACAAAAACCAAACCAAAACAAAGTGGGATCAGTCTGGAAGAACCCAAAATATGCAGCCATGGAGAATAAAACTAACCCCCTAGATTGCACATACTAATGAAGTATCCCCTGATCCTTAGATAGTGTGTTACTGAGTAACATGGCTGCACATTCCAGGCAAAAGCAGTGATTTCCTGATCATCAAGTGCTAAAAGATTCAGTACTGCTGTCAGTGGTTTGGCTTTTAGCTGGCCCAGCATTCCATCAGCCTTGCTGTCTTAATTTAATTTGTTCATCTCTTGGAAGCCTGACAGCTTTTTATTTTTTACATTTTCCATTTTTCTCCCTTTGGTTTCCTGTCCTGTCCTTACAGCCAAATTTATTTTTGTTTTTGACAGTAATTCAGCAGCCAAACCTAGAGCCAGAAAAGTATGTTCTATGCTGTCCCATTTTTGTCTTTTTACTCACCCATTTTTCTCTTCTAACTCCAACCTGGGACAAATAATTATAGAATCCAAGTGCAAGCAGATCCATTGAAATGTATGGGATTCTTCAAGATTCACCACCTCTAAGAAGATAAATTTTAAGGGTAAATTCTGGAAAAACTTGCTACTATAATGACCATCCATCTTGTAGCACTTTTAAAGTAGCAAAACTCCAATATACATCCATCTAGACTGCCTCAGAGATGCAGTTTATCCTCTCTCCTTCTTCCTATCTCAAAAAATGGCACAGGTGGTGGAAAGGTATATGACTCTGAATGTCAGATGGTAAGGAACAAGAAGAGGAAGGTGTTGTCACGTTTGATTCCTGCTTGTGCACTGCACATAAGCACTTGTGGGCTTCCTACAGGAAGATAATGTTGGATGTTAGATGGATAATGTTGGCCTGAATCAGCTGGAGTCTTCTTATATTCTTCCAAAAAACGGCAGGGAGAGAAGGGACTAAAGAGTCGAGTATTTATCCTTTTATATACAAGTGGGTTCATCTGGTTGAAGACCCCTAAGTAGGCTCCTATACCTCTAACAGTTAATTAATCCATCAGATTTGTAGCCCACTTTTTTTTTTTTTAAAGTTGTACAAAGGGGGAAAATCTACATTTCCTAGTACTGCAAAACCATGATGCAAACAGCTACATACAATTAAACTGTTTTTTTCTACAGAATTCTTGAAGGCACAGGAGCCATTTCAGGTTTTGAACCAAATCCTCAAACCTTCTTGTCTAAACAATTGTATTGGTGTTTAAGATTCATCATGAAGAAACTGTTGGAGGTATTCAAGCAAGTCTTTGCAAAATTTTTCCAAATATAGAATAATCAAGAATCAAGGTGGATCTATGTCAAAAAGTAACCATTTTAGTTGTAAACATAATTTTATTGCCATTCACTCATCACAAGGTAATCCTTCCTCCCAACCATGTGAAAACAAGATGGCAGCCTATGTAGACATGTGTGCAGCCCACATGCCACAGTTTTTAAAAACTAGCTACAGTTGTTACACCGACAGTCCCAAATGTGTTCATTTCAAATGGTCATGATAATGATTGTTCCCCAGAGTTTACCTTGGAGAAAAGAGCTATTAAATTAGAATGGGCTGAGTCAATCCAACCCAGCAGATACAAACACAGGTACTGAGCTTAATATCAGAGTAATAGGATTAGTTCATAAATTAAAAAAATACAAAAAAATCATCTGTTTCAATCTTTTTTTCTCTCTTCCTCAGAAACTCATCTGAATTGATAAACTGTCCAGAAAATATCCCTAGAAACTCCATGTCATATCTTCCCACCCTATTCCCATTTATTAAAGCAAGAAATAAGCCTAACAAATAAAACCACAACTGGTCTTCTGCATGCCTGGAAGTAATTTACATGGCAAATGTCCCACTTCAGTTTTCATCATCCAGTTATTGGGTCATTTAAAGGTTTCTCTTCCATTCAAAGAAAAAGGAACTTGGTATGCGGTGTTCCTGGTGCAGATTCTTTTAAAGGGTTTCATACAAAAGAGCTCCACCTCAAGAAAGAGAGAGCATAAACTGCCCGTGAAATAGACTTGTGTCTTCAGGAGTGATACAAAGCCCTTTGTGGAGACATCCGGGACTGCTACAAATATTCCAGCTCTAGTGCGTGCCGCAGCGCCTCCAGGTCAGCGTGACAGGAGATCCTCCAAAAAGGCATGTTGTGCTGGAATTAGACATGTTAAAAAGGAAAGGTTGAAAAGACATTCATATAGAATTGAAACTGCACCTGAGAAACAGAAAGCAATGCAGGGACAGGGTTTAACACCAGGACTAAATCCAGTTCTTCTCATGCAATGCAACATGTGGTTTGAGCTTGAATTATTACTGTTTAGTCTTGCTGTAGAACTTCCAAAGCCAGTATTGCACAGAAACAGAGAGCCCAAGGCTGTAGTGAGAAGAGAACATGGAATGAGGAGGGCTGAAATCTCTTCTCAGCTGTGAGGACTCATAGAACAGTAGAGTTGGAAGGGGCCATGAAGGCCATCGGATCCAACCCCCTGCTGTTGCAGGACACCATGTTGCACCATCCCACTCAGAGGGCTGTCCAGTTTCTTTTTGAATGCCTCCAGTGTGGGAGAGCCCACCACTTCTCTAGGCAGCCGGTTCCACTGTTGTGTTGCTCTGACAGTGAGGAAGCTTTTCCTGATGTCCAGCCTGGATCTGGGTTGTTGCAACATGAATCGCTTATTCCGTGTCCGACACTCTGGCATCAGCAAGGAGAGCTCCTGACCTTCCTCTTTGTGACAGCCTTTGAGGTACTTATAGAAGGATGCCACATCCCCCCTCAGTTTTCTCTTCCCAAGGCTGAACATACCCAGTTCTCTTGTTGACATTTATCTAACTAACAGTGAGCTGGGGCACCTGTGGGGGCCAGTTGGCATATTCAGCCCCAGCCCTGGCATTCTTGTGTTCTGCACACCTGCTGAGCCTGGGTTATGGGCTAAGCAATCCTTGCACCACCTTGGCATGTTCAGGCCTTATGCAAAGTGGCAGCTGCACATACCCTGCATGCAGTGCAGCTTCACTAGGAGTTAAATAACCAAAGTGGGCTCTCTTATCATGCGAACCAGCTCATTCTCTTCTAGCCTAACCCACATCTTCAGTATTTTGCAAGGATAAAATCAAATAATTCCATAGACAGTGTCTGCAGGGTTCATTCTTGGGGAAAAGGCAGACTCCACATGTGATGACAAAATAACATAAACTATATCCAAGGTGAACTGCCTCCCCCTGAAAGAAGAATATGCCAGTCCCCTCATCCATCCATTCCTCATCTACTTTTCCCACATGGTTCTACTTCCATTTAAATGGTCTGTTATTCTTTCTCTATAGAGAGGAGATGTTGGCAGCTCAGCCACGCCTGCTGCTTGGCGCCCATCAATTTATCACTCGTCCGACAGGTGAAGAGAAATGACCCACTCAGGACGAGATATCATCAGTGCTGCTGGCAAAGCAGTGAAAGGCGCCCTGCCCTCCCCATGGGTTTGAAAAGCTCAGGTGTGTAGTCACCCGTGCTAATGATCATCATCAATCAAAGGCTCTGACAGCGCCAGCAAAGAATGTATGCCCATTAATGGGAGAGAGGCTTAAAGCAGGACACGCCGGCCAAAGGGCCTCTCACAGCACAGTGCATAAGAGGCACTGCTGAACCCTACAGTCAGGCGGCCTGGTGGCCTTTGATGCGCTCATGTGTGCTGACCCCACTGCCTTTGAAGTTCACAGGGGCCCTGTCGAAGGCATCGCACAATTATCACTTCACTTTCTTCCTGTGCAGTTGTTTCTCCTCTGACTCTTGGAGAGCTGCCACTCTGGCCTGAGAACGACTCGGCTTATAGAAATCCATAGAGAGGGCACTGATGCATGCAGAGGAGAGACGCACGTGCAGCCCGATGATGCCAGTGGAAAGTCTCTGTGGAGAAGGGGGCTTTTGGCAGGGCAACAGCGCTGGGGGTCACATGAGGGGAGGCCGTGGTTCTGAAAGCCCAGGGAGCTGTTGCCGGTCCGTAGAGACCAGGCATGGGAGGCTTTTCCTGTCGAGGAAAAGATTGGGGCAAATCTTTGCACTCCCTTGGGGCAAATCTGTTAGGGGCTGCATGCTGATGGTGAGCAGGGCTGCAGGCAGGGGGGAGAGGGCGCAGGGCCCAGCATGGGCTCCAGCCTTTTCCTTTTCTCCACCCCACCCTGTTTTTGCCACTCAGCATCTTCCCCTCCTTCTGCCAACTCCTCCAGCAGTGGTGTTGAGCCTCAGGCCTGAGGCTTCTCCAACCCACCTGAGTTCCCAGTCTGGCCATCTGCCATCTGGCCCCACAGACAGGCTCATGGCCCTCTGTCAGCTCTCCTCTGCTCATGCTCCAGCAATCTGATTTTTAGCCTTCTTTAACCAAAATGCTTTATGATGGTTACAGTTTTATTGTTCAGACTGCCAAACACGATTCCTTTTTTCTCCCAATTACAACAAAATGTTATTTGTCCTGTATAACATTTTGTCCTGTATTCTCCTATCCAGCCCCTAAGATCATCCATTGAGGTCCTTCTCAGGGCCATTCCTGCCAAGAAGAGGGGCTGTGGCAAGGGGAAGGGTCTGTTCAATAGTGGCACCCTGTTTGTGGAACATGCTCCCCAGAGGGTACACTTGGTAGCATCATTTCTTTTCAGCACCAAGTGAAAAACTTTTTATTTTCCAGATATTTCAATAGATAAGCACTAGCTGTAGCGCTGTTTTTATTGTTTTTGTGTTATTTAAATATGATCAACCATTTGGTAGGTTATACTTTTTAAAATTAGAAAAAAGCCACTGGTTATTAGACTTTTGTGCAAAGTCTAATACCTTTTGTGCAAAGTCTAATACCACAGTACCTGCACTGTGGAGCTGTATTCTATCGTTTCTGGCACTGCAGCCACACAGTGGAAATGAGAAACGGCGGAACTCGACACATTTGCTGATCTGATCTGGTTCCTTATTTATGTGCCTAACAACACCGTTGTTAATCAAGAGCAATTTCTGTAGCAAGCGGAAAACATTGGAAAGGCCTCAGTGGCTGCCAGGGGGATGGAAGAGGCTTTGCAGTAGGAAATTGCTCAAAATGTTTTATCGACTTTCAAGCCAGAAAAAATGGCCTAATTGCAAATAGCTTAGAATGTGGAGAAATTTCTGTCCTTGTTCCCAGTAAAGGGAGATTTCTTTTTTTAATTGAAGGTCTAAACAGAAAGCCATACCTTTTTTGCTCCCTGCTCCTCTTCAACGCCATCTCCTATTACAATGTACACAGCTTTCCGTCCAAATCTCTGCATTATCCTTTCAAAACAGCTTTCTTTCCCTGCATAATGAAGGAGACGCATTAATGTTCCATGCAAAGTGGTCTTTCCTTCCTTCCTTCCTTCCTTCCTTCCTTCCTTCCTTCCTTCCTTCCTTCCCAACCAGGTGATTCTGCCTCCCTATCATCCCATAATAAAACACAAATGGAGTTGCACCAAGAGAAAAAGGGCCTCCTGAACGCAGTTTGCGTTTGGGGCTAGATCAGAAAATATCAACAGACAGATCAGTCAGTCCCAGTTCATAATATATCCCCAAGGGAGGTACTACATTTAACTCTCCCTATGGCAGGTGAAGATATGTGTGCTGATACCCTAAGCGTTAAGTAAGGGAGACACGAGGGCATTTTCCAGCAATGATGACTTAATCCTGCCTTGTTTTAACTATACTAGTTTCTGTAAGTCACTTTGAGTCAATTGAAAGTCAGCCTAGCAATCAAAATCAAACCAGCCAAGCAACAGACAGAAAAATAAATGAACAAACAAGCAATTAGATAATTCTAAACTTTAGAATGGTGCATATTTGACTGTTATTATTATTCCAACCCAACATTATTAAAGTTAGCACTACTGTCAAATTATCTACTTTTTATTGCTGCAATTTCTTGCTTACAGATGTCTCTTTTGCTGTATTTCACACTCCCTCTGAAAATGAGAAAGTAAGGGATTATGTGCTGGTCGATAAGGTAACTCTCCAGAGGGGGCAGGAGTGATTGCATTAAATCTGTGAACCACATGCCATGTGCTATTTCTCCTTCAGTTGGTTGAAATGATACAGTGAAAACTAACAGAGCAGTGCCCAGAGGACCACAGGACTGTGTGGAGGCTCCACTCCAAGTGCAGAAAATGACTTCAACCTTGGAGCTGGAATGTCGGGCTTGGTGCACCCCTTCCCTGCTTGCCGCTGGTGCGGAAGGAACTGTGCCAGCTACTTCTCCAATGTCATAATCTCAGAGAAGGGGTCTGGGAGCATTCAACGGGGAAGGGAGGGCAGGAGACATGGCCAGAATATGGTGCATCCTGGTGGTGCCTTAGCCTCCTTCCCTTCCACTCTGAAATGCCACAGTCAAATGACCAAAACCAACCATCTCAATGCTTTGAGGAGCAGGAGGATGTCGGGGTGACCTTTGCCTCTGGGCTCCTCCTGCCATACATAGGGCATACTCATAATCCTCTTCCATACCCATAATCCTCTGAGTTTGGGGGGTTACGGGCAGATTTACTGGACTGTACTCTAAGTGGGATTTAACACAGGGACATACACACAGAGGTTGCTACAAGATGAGGCTTTTATTGCTTCATTGCACTGCTTTGTTCAAGGCATTTATAGGCGATCCGAACAACAATGACATATAATTGTAATCTTTTCATATTTTCCTACTGCTTCTTACCATGGAAAATCCATCAAGAAAAAAAATGCAGATTAGCTACACAATGCCTTCTGACTATTACCACTGGGATCCCTCTTTCTGGAAGCACAAGAAGGCAGATCCTGAAGTCAGTCAAGGGTGTGTTGTTGATGAAAATGGCACCTCTGAGTCACTTGTATAGGTTCTTAAACTGGTCCTTTTACTTTCTCACCAAAATTGTTATATATATCATAGTAAATGTCCAAAGTTTGGTGATTACCCACAATGTCACTAAGTCTTAAACTAATTTTGTGAATGACCGAACATGTACAGTAGGGAATGTCTACCTGGGAATGTGAGAGTCAGCATTCACTAATGTATAATTTAAAAAATAGAGAAAGAGAGAATGGTTGTCAGGTATTCCCAGCATCCATTGGGGTCTTCTCTATTATGACCACTGACCATCACCAGCACGGACACTTTTATATTTCTGCTGTTCTATTCTTACCTGTCTTCGTTGCACTATAAATATTTTCAATGGGGAAGACTGCACCCAGTCCATACAAGAGCACTTTTGCAAGGGCTGGGATGAGCTGGGTTGTAGTCACCAAAACATTTACGCAGTTAGGCCTAGGAGACAGAAAACAGCATCAGAATTAAAGTCAACAGGACCTTCCCCTTCCCCAAAGAGATCTTTGTTTTTCTGCTCTATTAGTCTGAACTGGAAGCAGGATGTAAGTTTTGCCAGCAACGAGTCCCATGAAATCAGTGATTAACACAGTCAGCAGTGGCTAGACTTTTAAACGTTTTTCTCCCTCTATTATTTATTATAACTCAAAACTAGTCTGAAAGTGAAGTACGTCACCCGTAATCACACACCAGGGATATAAATGGTGTAAAACTCCAATAGCATTTACACTGTGCCCCCCCTAGGGTAGACAACTCCCTTTACTATTTTCCTGCTTTCCATAAAAGGTATAGCAGGGAGCCAGAAATGGGGCCTGATGGCTCTTGTTTTAGATCTAGTTCCCCATCCCATGTCCAGATGGGCCCCCCACAAATTTGGCCAAATGTCCTATAAATAAATGTGCCTGGATTTGTTTGGCGAACACAAGAGCAAAGTAAAACTTGCGCAGCCTGGAGATGACTGCTTAAGCCCTTCTTACCGGGAATGTATCAAATCCAGAGCTTTCAAAGCATGTGTTAGCCAGAGATCAGTCAGCGCTTCCAGTTCTGCTCTTAACTGCAGCCAGGTTTCCCTCTTAGGAGCTCCTATTAAACCTGCAGATAGAGAAAGCAGCATTTGTAGCTAGTTCCAATGGGGAGGTATGGAATAGCTTGCACATGGCTTTTGCAAAGCCATAGGATCATCGAGTGGGAATGAACCTGAAATCTATCTCATCCAAAATGATGCCCAAAGGCAAACCCATCCATCCACTGGCCGCCTACATACCCCCACATGTGCAGTTGATATCAAAGCATGCCAAAAACAGAGAGAAAAATTGCATTGCAGAAAGGTGCTTGTAATAAAATAAACAGCAAGTTGCTGAACCCCGTTCAGTTTTACCTCTGTTTGATCTGCTTCAATGCAAAGTTTAACTAACTCTGATTTTATCATTGGCCTTATTGTCTTATCAGGTTTTAAAGATTGTTGCATGCCAAGTAGAGAGGTTTTACCCTAAGAGATGGTGTATCACTCTTACACATATTCTGAAAGGTGCCAAGGAAAATGTTTTTATTGAAACCAACATGCTTTGGAACCAGGGTTTCCTTTGTCAAGGGTAAACTTGCAAAACCCAAATTCTGGGAACAGACTAAGCCAGCTTTCAAAGATGGTGGTTGTCTTTCTTACACCATCAGAATTTTGGTTTTTACAAGATTGTCCCTAATGAAGGACCTCTTGATTCCAAAGCATATTGGTTTCAACAAAAACGGTTCCCTTAGTATCTTAGAGAATATGTTCTCTTTTCACATTCTGATCTGTTCCGGTGCTTTGCTTCTGTTTTTTATTTATCCATCTTTTAAAAATTAAAAGTAGACCAATGATACTGTTTGTGGTAGAGCTTTATCTCACTCCTGGAATGTCCCAAGACTGCCCTGCAAATTCTTCTGGTTAATCCTTTTAGTAGCCCCTTGTGGTCTTGAATCTCCACCACTGTTCATATGATTACATCTCTAGGGCAACTCCCTCAGTGGATCAAGAAGGTGGCCAGGGCACACTGCTTCCCAGAGCGCCCTCAGCGCAAGTCCCCAGCCCATTCCAGGCACTCAGCATGAGGTGAGAAACACATTCCCTCCCACCAGGTTCTCTGCCTGTCCAAAATAAAAGCAGGGAGGTTGATATAGAAAACCTTAGAAAATACCCAGCGTCCAACAATGGCATATGATGAAAGGGTATAACAGGAACACTTGCTAAAAGTAAAGACCCCCAACATGCCAAACTTTCTCATCTAAGTGTCCCTCTCCCCAATTATGGCCACCATTTGAGGATCACTGACCAGTCCTGAATTTCCAAGCAAGCCCACGCTCTGCCCATGTTTCGAACTGCATTCTCCTGCTGCGTTCCTACCTTAAGGTCGAACCTAAATTGTTTCCAATAGGCAATTCATGTTTCTCAAGCAGCAGAGTTTTATCCCTCTGTGTGTGTGTGTGTGTTGCACATGTACATGCAGGAGTGTGTTATCCACTTATGAATGTGTGACCTGCTATGTTTCCTTTTCATGAACCTTTTCTGGGACACTCAGGCCCAAACTTGTGTGATGACAATTAGCATGCCAAGTTTTAAAAATTTAAATAGCAACTGTGGGAGGAAGAAATTGGAACTGTACCACACAGAATGGTGGTTGTGATAATCCTTTTCTTCAAGCCATTGCCTGGATAAAATAGCAGTTTTGAGCATGGGAAGAATTTTCATCTGGAGCACACTACCGGGGCTGGGGTGGGTTAAATATCAAATTCTTTCCGAGAGAGAGGGAGAGAGAGGGAGAGGGAGAGGGAGAGGGAGAGAGAGAGAGAGAGAGAGAGAGTTCTTTTTAACCTAAAGCAATGATCCAAAGCAGAAATCTGATTCAGAAAGATTTGACTATGGTAGTATTTATTCCACTCTGGTCTATTTTTTAAATAGGAATTATCCCCCTCAAAGAGGAGAGATACTGCAGGAGAAAGAATAAAGGAACACACTTCTTTTTTTCTTTCAGGGTGCAAAGCACCTTGGAATGGCGATTTTGATAAGAGAGACTCTTTCAATGAAAGAGTAAGTGCCCCTCCCTCCTCATTGCAAGAACTCCTAAGCCAGACTGCCGCTTCCTGCAGCTGTTTTAAATAACTTCTGCCCCAAACCTCAGATGGAACATTTGCACCACTGAGTGCCATGTGGAGTTTCGGCCTTGAAAAAAGTTGTGCCAATGAACTAGACATTAAAACTAGCCAAAGAATACCTCAGGGCTTTCTTTTGTTTCTGATACCTCTAACATTTTATGCATACCTTTAAAAAGCATGTTCAACAGAACACACACAGAACTTAAATAATAACCATTAAGGTTGCAGACTATTTCCTGCAGATTAGCAATTGCCTGAGAGCAACCAGTGGCCTGAACTGCAGCAGACAATTGCATAGGCCCAATCATAATTTCAGTTTTCTTGAAAAGTTTTATATCAAGTTATTATTCTCATTAAGTGCATGAAGGGTACTGCGCTAGATAATAGCGGCAGACAATGCATGTGTTTAAAAGACCTAGAGGGGCAATCACCACTGCTGCCTTTCTGTTGTTCTCATTCTAGTGGAGTGACAGACGTGATGAGATAATACCAGGCACTTCTACTATGGGAAATGTGGGACTTCAGCATGTGAGGGGGCGTCATTGCTGCTTTGGATGAGATTGCAGAGGTAAATGGCCGGTTTATTCATTGATGTTTCATTGGTAAGAGGAGACATGATCAAGGTGTACAAAATGATGCATAGTTTGGAGAAAGAGGAGAGGGAGAGTTCTCTCCCACTCCCCCACCTCCCCCCTCTCTCATAATGCTGCAACCCATGGTTAGCCAGTGAAGCTGGTTTGTGAGAAATCCATGACAGATAAAAGGAAGGGCTTCTTCGTACAGGGCATAATATGACTGTGGAATTTACTTCTAGATCATGCAGTGATGGGCAGCAATTTGGACAGCTTTGGAAGGGGACTCAACAAGTTCATGGAGAATAAGTCACTAGTCCTGATGGCTGTGCTCCCTCCAGTAGCAGAGGCAAGAGGCCTATGTACATGGGCAGGAAGCAGCAGTTGCACTCATGTTCTGCCTGGGGGTTTACTGCTGGCAGGCCACTGTGTGAGCACTCAGTGGACTAGATGGACCCTTGGACTCTTCCGATGTTCTTATTTCCGATGTTCTTATTTCCACCCTTACATAAAAACTCTTGTTATTTTTTTCATTTCATTTCACTTTTTCATTTGCGAGCCAGTGTGGTGTAATGGTTAAGAGTGTAGGGCTGGGACTCAGGCAATCTGGTTTCTAGTCCCTGCTCAGCCATAGAGTCAACTGGTGACTTTGGGCCAGTCACAGACTCTCAGCCCAACCTATCTCACGGGGTTGTTGTTGTGAGGATATGACTGAGAGCAGCAGGAGGAGACTAATAAAAGCTGCTTTGCATTCTGTAAAAAAAATTAAAAGGTGGGATATAAATCTAATCAATAAATAAATTTATATCCCACCTTTCCACCATGAAAATGGCACTTAATTGAGGGAAGGAGGCAAGGATAACGTCTGAGTGTGTATATCTGTGCATCAGTGGGAAACACAGGGGCAGCTCCTCAAAGCAAGGGTTCATAGCACAACACCTGAAGTTTTGAAGACATTCACAAAACTTTCCTGTCCCTGTCCCTTTTTTTCCCATTAAATGAATTAAAATCGAAAATGTTAGGGCAACATGTTCTCTTTCCTATTTCTGTACCTGCTGCTGATCAGCTGTACTGTGGGCAGGAAGAGAAGGAAGGAGCTGTTCCTGGCCCAATCCAATCCTTTTGTGTCCATACAAACCTTTCCCTTTGCTTGCTCTCTCTATACTCCTAGCCTTTAGACTTGCTATTTCTCACGACACAACTCCTCACTTCTCCTCTCCCTTCCGTGTCCCTAGCTTTTGACTTTTTTCCCTTCCAAGCACTTGGCCTTACGCTTTCTCTCCCACTCACCCCTTTTTCTCACATTTTATCTTTGGTCCCAGCTTCTGGGCTCGCTATTTCTCCCTCTCTCACCTCTTCATTCCACTGTTTTTCTCCCCTGGTAGCCTCCAGCCTTGCACTTTCTCTCCATTCTACCCTTTGCCTTGCTACTTTCTGTCCCTCCCAGCCACTATCCTTGCTATTTCTTACTGTCCCCTTTTTTGCTTAACTAGGCTCCCATGGCAAATAGTAGGTGACTAGCTATGGGAGCCATTTTGTTGAGGCGCCCACAGCAGTTTTGCAGGTTCTTAGGCAAAGAAGTCTCATCTAGTCCTCACACCCAGAGCTTTTTGACTGCAGCTGCTGCAAAGACTGAATCTGGTATACTGGTACACTGCCAAATTAAACACAGCAATGTAGCTCAGGTCAACATATCACCTCATCTTCATCATACGACAGAGAACAGGAGGTTAGGGGCAATAATGTCCCAATAGTCCAATGATAAGGCTACAGCAACCCTTATTGGAGCTCTTCTATTTTGTAACTGCACCCAACAGGAGGACTATGAAGCTGCCTGAATGCTACAATCAACAGCAGAGCCCCTTCTCCTGGTGCTGCTCCTGCGGGAGGTTTGGAAGATGGCAACAAGTAGAGGGTCTTCCAGTAGCCACGTCTCCAGTTCTGGAATTATGGTACCAGGTTAAGACTGGTACCAGGTTAAGACTAACTCTTTGGTACCAGGTTAAGACTGTCCTTGATTCTCAGGCATTTGATGGAATACAACGGGCCTTTTAATCTCAGTTAATATTAGCTTTAATGTCAGCCGGTCCCAGAATTTTATTGCCATTTTTAAACAGGTTTTAAAGTTCTGTTTGTTAAAAATAAAAAAATATCTTTTTATTATGTTGTAATTTGAGTGTTGTATTTTTTTGCAAACTTCTCTATTTTGTAAATAGATCTTGGGCTACTGGTGGTATAAGAATGAACTAAATAGAACTGGAAATTAATAGACAAAACATTTCCCCTTCTTTGGTTCTTCCATCTCTTTGCACTTCAAATGTATGTAGGCTGTTCTCTCCATCTGCTCTAAAGAACAGGAAGACAAACTGTTAGGAAGATGAGAAAGTGACTTCTCTGATGGGTTGGGAAGACACTTACCGCCAACATTGTTTTTGTAGGTGTTGTAGAGCTCTTTTACCCTCCGGTAGCGAAATGCTAATTTCCTCATCCAGTCAACTCCCCCGTGAACTCCAGAGCCCAGACAAAGATTTGCTCCAGCGGTTGAACTGTGAAAGCCATCTGCTGAGAAATTATATGTGCTGTGGCAAAGGAAGGAGGAGAAGGGGAAGGAGTGAAATTATAACCTACTCTTCCCATTCAGATGGAGAAACTAGTAAAGAGCAAAAAGGAGGGAGGAAGATGTGTTCCAGACTTTTGGCCTTGTTAAAGACAGCTGGGGGGGTGCTGTTCCCCCCAGCCATTTATCCTGCAGCTTTGGAGCATTTGCCTATGATTTAGCTATCGGTTGATATGCTTAGCTCACTAAAAAGGTGATACGTTAAATCAAATCCACAGCTAATTCCCATATGCTTATATCAACATGTTGATGAAAAGAAACTTGAGAAGAAGTCCACGATTCACTTGGAAGTTCTCTTTTGCAAGCCCCAATGAATTTGAGTAAGGGCTTTGGGTAGAAAAAGGAATAATTGCGTTGCTATTTTACCGCATGCAGGATTCTGAATCACATTTGAGTCAAGCTGGCTTTCTGGTACCTCTATCATAGAGTTGGCACAAATGACAAATATTCCATTCACCCTATGGACATACTGGCCCTAGTGGCAGAGGAGAATAATTTCAAGCATAGATCTTAACTTCTGATAAATTAAGCGATCCATCCCCTTGCCATTGTCATACTGTTTCTAATTTACCTCTGAAATACCTGGCACTAGTCTACTGCTGGAAAAAAGGGAATGAACATCTATCCTGTCCCAACACAACACTTCTAATATGTCAAGGCAGAAAAACAGATCAAAGGCACTAATTTAAGCTACCATCTGGGTATTAATAAGTAACTGGGGACTGGTTGTACTGGGTATTTTGGAAGCAAAATGCTTTACCTTAAATCTTGCCCATTGTCATCTGACGATACGTCATCTATGTGTATCTGGTCACAGTCCTGAAAATAATTTCCAAAAATAATCAGCCAAGTAAGAAGAATTGCTTTGTAAAAATAACAATGAAGAAATGTCATGCAACCAAAGCTATGCTGAGAAAGATCCCTCAACAATTTATGGTCAATTATACTAATCAGATTACAAGCAACATTTCAGATACAGCTTTCCCAGAACATGAGCATTATGTGGTTAAACACAGTAATTCTCACAGACAATAAGGTCACTCATATGACTTTTTTTTCACCTGGGGGCAAATTGTTTCCTATTCATTGAAGGCAGTGTTGAAACATGCAAAGAATCATCATTGCCTTTCAAGGGGAAAGCATTATGAGTAGCATCTAAGCCTAAACCTGCACATTCCCCCTTTAAAGAGCAGGAAGTGCTCAGGCAAGCCACCCTACACATTTGCTGTTCACTGTAACAAAGGGTGCTTCCAGACGAGGCTTGTATTGTGCTGTTTGCTGCCTTGCCTCCTTCATGGAATTTTCCACAAGGTCCAGATGATTTCTCATCACTCCTTCTACCTTTTTCTTTTTTCAACAAAGAAAACCCTTCACATAAAGAACAATGGAACTTCTGACTGTTAGCACTGGGGTCTTTCTGTTTGGGAGCAGCTGAAATTTCAATAAAGATATTGCTGCCTGCACTACATAGGTTTTGCATCCTTTGGATGAAAAAATAGCAGCGACTTCTGTCATTTCTGTAATATTTGCTTTATTTATAAATCTGTATGCAAAGGCAAACAGCTGGCATCTCACAGCTACTTGCAACACAAGTTGCTTTCCATTTTCAGGAAAAGTAATGAGTACAATTCAATATTCACATATCAAGACAGGACAAGGGATATGTGAATCCGTCAAACTCAGATTCTTGATTCTCCATGCTCTATCCTTGTTACATGGGAGATCCCCAGCACCATGGAAATGTGCATGGATTTTGGTGTGCATTATTTCCCAAACATACATTTTTATTCAAATGCACCTACTGGCTGGTGTTTATCTGTACACATTTTTAAAGTATAGCATTTTTTGTTGCACAATTTTTGAATATGTGAAGATCATCTATTGCTCCTTTTGTTTTGAAATGAACATTCACAAACTTGGAAATATATGAATTTCCACCCACAAACTTGCATTCAGGTCTACATGCAATTCCAGGATGGGCAAATTGAATAACCTTTAATTAAATTGCAAACCCAATGAACTGCTCACCCTTCTGTGCACAGGGAAATGCTAGGAAAATGGGAATGGTAATCTGCCAAGAAAACTTTAAGGATTGCCATTCCCCTCTATTGCTCCTTTTGTTTTGAAATGAACATTCACAAACTTGGAAATATATGAATTTCCACCCACAAACTTGCATTCAGGTCTACATGCAATTCCAGGATGGGCAAATTGAATAACCTTTAATTAAATTGCAAACCCAATGAACTGCTCACCCTTCTGTGCACAGGGAAATGCTAGGAAAATGGGAATGGTAATCTGCCAAGAAAACTTTAAGGATTGCCATTCCCCTCACCAGGTATACAGGATATTGTGATAGGAGAGGGAAAATGACTGCTGCTATAAACCCATACACAAACATTAGAGGAAACCACCCCCAAATTCTATCTTAATAGATTATGCACTTGGAGTTCAGCCACTATAAAACATGCACTCTAAACCTTATCTTCCAAGTTCTTTATTGTCTGAGTGGAGGAGGCCACAACCTCAAAAACTTTAAAAATGTTATTTTAATGGTTTCTTTATTTGATTTGACATTCCAAATTCCTGAAGAGTCAGGAAGCTTCTTTCTGTGACCCTCAAAGGGGCAGAGACAAAAATGCATACTACAAAGCATATGCAACTTGGCAAGGAGTTCCTCAATCTCTCATGTTGATATTACAAGCAGAAAAGGATTTTACCAATCATTTTTATAGTACTTTTGGGGTGCATTCCAATCTGGATGCCCATAAATCTCCAAACTCAGAGGACTGTGGGCATCCTATGCAAGGCAGGAGAAGTATGGAGGCAAAGGTCACCTGCACATTCTAAGTGCCATGTAAAACACTTAGGTGGCTGATATTGGCAGCTCAGAGCATTAGAACAGGAGGATACTTGGTGGCTTCTGTCTCTTCCCCTCCCTGCCTCTGAGGTCACTCCTGAGACCTTGGAGCTGTTGCTGGAGCAGTTCTTTGTGTGCTGGCTGCATGAGTGTGGGGAGGTTCTCAGAGTCTGGACTCTTAGCTCCAACCTCAGAGACAGTTTTGAAGGTTGGATTTTGGACTCTGAAAAACCCGATGGCTGTCTAGACGGTGTCTAGCTATGTGCTGCCCACGAGCACAGCACAGGCTAAACTACATGTTGGGTTAAATGCATTTTTACACTGAATGTGATTTAACACTCCCCCCCCCCCAAAAAAAAGTTGCATGGTGTGGGTGGGTTGGCAGACGCTGATTAGGACTGAGACTATTCTGGGCAAGGAATTAATCCTCTCTCTCCTGCTACCATCTTGCTGGAAACAACCAAAAGGATTACATTCAGCTCATATGCAGAAAGCCACAAGTTCTATCAGTGGCATCTCTAGGTAGGGCTAGGAAAAAAATAAATCTTGAAGAGCCCTGTCAATCAGTGTAGATAATACTGAGTTGAGTATTTAATGTGGGTTGTCATTAAATCAAGGGTTGTTGCTGAAACATGAGATAGCATGTTGTCTGAACCCACCTGAGATAACAAACCATGGTGAACAACCCATAGCTTATGACCCAATGACAAACGAAGGCTCTCTTCATGGGCTGTTCATGCTAAACAAGCCATGACTTGTTAGTGCAGTTGGGTTCAGGCAACATGGTAAGTTCAGCAGCAATCCAATTCAACTCAGTTATTTTTTAACCCAAAATAAGGCAACTTCCCTATATTCCAAATGTAGATGTTTCCATTTGGCATATAAGCCTTTGATGGGTCAGGGTTTCATCAGAACTCAGCTGCAGGACAAGGTCCAGGGATGCAGTGGAAAACAAGGGAGCCCAGCTTTCACATGTCACAGTCTCCTCAGATTCAAGCAGGTCTCTTCTCTGCCTCCCTCTCCAGCAGACTTAGCTGAGTCCTAGCAGGTTACAAAAATCATAGTAATGTGTTCTTTGAGATGTGGAAAAAGCATCTGCCCGGGTAAAGAGCTGAACCCAACCTAGAACTACCCCCCCCCACCCTCCCTTTCAGGAAAGATTCTGACTTCTCACAGTGGCTCCTGCTGCCCGAGGACCGCCCAGCACATTGTGATTGATCTGCTCATGTTGTCTGTCATATCATCATTATTATTATTATTATTATTATTATTATTATTATTATTATTATTATTAACATTTCTATGCCACTGCTTGCCGAAGCCTCAGGGCGGCTTACAACACAATGATGGGGTCAAGGAACCCTTCTGATGGGGTCAAGGAACCCTTCCTCAATCTCCTCCCTACCCAGTTCTGAAATTTCTCCTTCTCCAAGGCACGCTGGTTCTCGTGCTCAGTCTTCATGTGGTGACTTGGAAACTGCCATCCATCTGCCCTCCTCTGCCCCTCCCTCCTCAGAGTCAGATGAATTCACCTGAGGATAATGCAATGTGTGAGAACTTAGCTCCTTCTATACCAGCTCAGAATCCCAAAGAGCCCAGGCAGACTTGTACCAGAATCAGGCCAGTGGCTGAGCCCAGAGAAGACAGCAAGTTGGATAGGTCAAGATAGGGGAGTCAAGGCACCAGCTGGGTGATTATTCATGTGGACAAGTTGCCCAGGCTGAGGAACTGATCTGAAGGCACATCCATGTTTGGTCTGTGGAGTCCTCTGATTATATTCCAGTGGACTGGAACTTGATTCCCAGAGTTAAGACACTCTGCAGGTTCCATATGGACCATCCTTGATTCCCTAGAGCTTAGCCTGCTAGGGATGCCAGGGAATAAGAGCACTGGTACTGAAGGAAAGGTGGCTGGACCTGCCTTATGTGCTCCACCAGATCTTCATGCTATTTGCATTTGAGGTTCATATTACAAAAAAACCACGTACAGTTACAGGTCATTAAGCATCCCTTGAGACAACTGTTTTAAAACTCGGGGAACCGACATGTTAGACTGGGATATAGATTCTGCTTTAGCTCACATGTATCTTAAAAAACAGACATCTGCTGTAAGCAAATCTGATACGTCAGTTCCAGTACTGATTGTTATATGGATTATTCCTTCCTCGCTCACTTGCGGGCTGTTTTTAAAGTGGGGGCTTTCTACCAACATGGACCAAGCAAACAGAACTAAAAGAACATTTCTGTTGCACTCTGGCACACCTTTCCAAGGTGATACAAACATTTGCAACGGTGCATCTGAATTGCTAAAGCCACGCTGGAACGATATTGCTGCAGCCCACTCGACTTCGCTTGCACTGTGCAGGGCAATTGTGTCAGGGGAAAGGCGTTTGTGGGGGATCTGCTTTTCTCATTTGTGAATGAATTGTTCTATATGCTAAAGTTTGACAACAGTAGTGATCACATTTCTGACTTAATAAAATACCATGACACTCAGTGAGACGCTACCTCATAGTCCACCACCGACTGACAATATCATGTTACTGGGTAAAACATAGCAAAGTGGGACAAAGCAAGAATGTAAACCATATTTTACTACAGTACTTGGTTACTGGACTAATTTTTCATTCTTGCAGATTTTGCTTTTGAGACCTCGGTGAGCAAGGAAGGGGATGTGAACATCTGGGTGGCTGAATATGAGGCTCCAGTTTTGCTTGAATTAAGTTTAATAATGAGGAGATTTCTAAGCCCAGGCTCCCCATCTGTTGGCTTCAGCTGAGTATGCTGAGATCTCATAGGGTTCATACAGGCCACAAGGGTAATTAAAAAAAACCACATGCACCATTTGTAGTCTCCAAGCACATTTGCTCTTGTGCTGTAATTTTTAGATCATCTCTCTCTGGTGATCAAATGTAAACTGATATAAAAAAGCCAACAGGAGATAGTGTGAAGGTAGAGAA